TATAAAATAAATATTGGATTGTGTGTAAAAAATGAACTACCACACGAATATGACGACACCTCGTCTGCAGAAGAAGAGTGGATTAGGTGATGAAATTTATTCGGACGCATTTATGGTGACAATGATGAGAGAGTTGTGGCCCCACATGCTGAAGAAATGGGATGAACCCAGATTAATAAATGACATAATGATGCTAATTAAGAATCTAATCATGCGGGGAGAGGCTATAGAGTGGAATTATGGGCAGGAATTAGATTCCATATTCGGAATATTTACGATGATGTTCTTGGAATTGAATCACAACCCAAAAATCAGGTTGTTGCTGTTATTGTTACTGGAATTGAGGGCTGGCTCATGGCGCTTGAGCAGGGATGCTATCTGGTACTATCAGCCCTATTTGGCGGCGATGCAGACGGAGACGCCAACGGAGCTCCTTTTTTTCGATAAGGAAGCATTGGAAGAAATGGCCATGTATTGCATGCCATAATATGTCAGTTATGCAATTAATTATTAATCTTACTCTTCCTTTTCAAAATGTATCCAAAGTCTTAGAGAGATGAAGTTTAAAATTATACATGCTATATTATATGTACTATAACTATGTGAAGTCACTTTAATATGATTTAAAATAACAATTTTCATTTAAGAATACAATAACAATCGTTTTTTTTGAATGAATCAATTAGATGTAATGTGATAGACATAACACATTTAAATAAAATATATTTGAGAAAACGAAATCAGTTAGATGATAGACTGATTACAGTCTTATATTATACATTACATTAGATACATTAGATGAACGCTACTAATTACAGTTGTCATTTACACTTGAATAAAATACATGTTTAAAACACGAAATGAATGAGATGTTAAACAAATTAATTTAATTTATTTACAATTACAGATATTATAAGTATATTTTAAAGATATTAATTGGTGGTAACCGTATTGACTATGTTTCAGTGAAAGCGAAAATTTTATTTTCGAAATAAATAAGTGCTGGTATAATATCGGATGTAAAATATGGTTTTATTTTACAAAATTGATAATTTTATCAATAAATGTTTTTGCTTTGGTTGACGTAATTTATTACATACGTACTAAATTAAAAAAATGAAATTAATTCATTTAAATCTATACTTAAATAGATGATACTTTGTGCGATAATATAACCAACATTTTAAAATATTATAGGCCTAAGACATTGGTTTATTTATGAAAATTAATTTGTATTAATCGGTCTAATAATACTAATATATAGTCCAGTCATAAAAGTAAGTTGACCTCGGAGTTCGAGATATCCAGCTGTAAATCTGTTAATACTTGTATAATGACACCCTAAAAGTTGTCTCAAAACCTACATATGATAAGGTGTCAATACCATATGTAGGTTTTGTGACAACTTTATGTGGGTGTTAATATACAAGTATTTACAGACTTACAGCTGGGTATCTCGAATTCCGAGATTCTTACCTAATTTAAGCTTAAATGACTGGACTATGTAGGGATATCAAATTTTATTCTCGACTGAATGAAGGCTAGGATGTTAGCCAAAACATATGGATTTCAACTAAATTTATAATCAGCCATCCGCTCACCTCAGAATCTGATCTTTCTCACATTGTGTAAGTCAAGAAAGAAATTACGGCAAACTACTTTTTTTATTATCTCGAAAAGTATTTAAATGAGTTTTTTACTCTGTGATAAAGAGAGCGACTAAACCGACCTTGACCTTATGACATGTTGACTGGCTAGTTATCTATATCGAGCGACAACAATGGTAAAATTGTGACAAGGTAAATCGTGTTGCGCATACTGAACTTAACATCATGCATGGAGACAGGTGATGCACAGAAAAGTTTGGATGGATAGAACTTGGACATAAATTATCTTTTGGTATATGTTACCAATCTTTACATATTAAAGAAAATATTCTGGTCTAGGATTTTTAAACTAGTGATGCATGGCATCGTGCTTTAAGGCACATTGCTGTAATTTCTATCAGATAAACATTGGTACCGAACTTGATGTGCATATGTCCAATGATCATTTTTGACGGCCAGATGGCTTTTTTACTTATCTTCGAAACGGCTAGACCTGCCTTTACCAAAAACAAATCAGCACGTCTCCCCATCAATACGAATCGAATGTTTTTCGAATTATTCAAATCGGTTGAACGGTGTTCCCAAAATCGTTGACAAAAATTTGTCTCCGCACATATACAGATCCATTTTTTCTGAGGAGATTCCAAAATGTTCATTTAAAATAAAGATATACAGAAAAATTTCCCTATGAGAAGTTAACAATCGATATGAATTTTTCAAAGTTTAACTAATCAATAGTATGTTTACAAACGAATTTTTAAAATTTAAATTATTTTTTAATATATATATATATATATATATATATATATATATATATATATATATATATATATATTATACTACTATAATCTACTTGTGAACTTTTTTATATCGGAGAAACTAGCCAAAACCTGAGTAAGCGCCTTCATCAACATAAAAATAACTCAAAAAATCCCAAACAATTCAAAACCATGTTAACCGAACATATTAATAATTTAAACCATTAAAGAAGATTCGCTGAGGGGTTGTTTTCAGCAATTGCATAACGACAGGGTCATAAACAAACGATTCGACAACACGGCCTTGAACGAAACAAACACGTGGTTCCTTATCAAAATTTCTTAAAAAGTGACAAGATCCCATCGCTTTTTTAAATTTCTCGTAAAATTTGAACACATGTTAAGAATTGCTTCATGAAAAAATGTGACATTTTTATCTTAGACTCCGAATAGTAAATACATAGTTTCGATAACTTGTTATCTTATTCATGTTTATTCGTGTGTTTTACCATTTGTGATGTTAAAAAATATATATTTTTCCAATGAGCATATACTCATACCATGGATTAATAATGTTTTCATATGTTATACTAAGATAAAAAATTGTAAGTTTTTATTATTATTATTAACTTCCCGAAGGAGAAGTTTATGTTTTCATAAAAAAATCCGATTCGCTAATTTTGTTTTCTCGACGTTTCAAGCCATTCTGAATCGAATGAGACAAAATTTGGAAAAAGTATGTGTGCGTGTGTGTGAACAGATTTTTTTCCGTAAATCCACGTTCTCTCAAAAACGGCTGGACCGATTTCAAAAATTTAAAAGCCATTCGATGTATCTCGATGAGGACTATCGTTGTCAGTTTTGCGTTACGATCGGCCGAGCCGTTTCTTTGTAAATCGCAGAAAAGTGAAATTTTTCGTCCACGTTTTAGCCCGCAATTCTCAATCGATTATGAAAATTTAAGGGAATTTTAAAAATATTTTTATAAAGCTTTGTTAAAATTTATAAATTAGGGACCGATTCCACCGCATAACAAGAAAATGTTATGGCAAGGTCAGGTTATGACGAACTTTCCATACTAAATATTGACAAAAACCATGTGGTTAGTTTGCAGTCAGGCGTATCTCTCAGGTTGTGGGATAGAAAACCTAACATAGAAATCGCACAAATGTCAAAAAAACGTTCTTAGATAACAGGGTCTTTCTGATCCAGCTTCATAACATACAAGTGACGTTGCAGTTTACGTGTACAACGCCTGAATGCAATGCAAATGCATGACATTTTGACAGTATTCAGTATGATTCAGTAGCATAATAGTAGTAACATGGCCTTGCCATAATATTTTATATTATGCGGCAGAATCAGTTCCTAAATTTATTGATTTTTGACTGGTTTTATCAATGCATTTTAAGGGGTCAATGTCAATGCTATGTTACGGGTCTATATTTGTATGATTTTGTAGTACCGAATTGCCAAAAAGTTAAAGGATTAGACGTTTTATTCATTTACTTCTAACTTCACGTATGTGTCATGAATGAGGCATCAGGAAGGTCCGTTTTGTAGGTTAGGTTTTATGTGTAAACGCCTGATTTTATATACATTCCTATGGCGTTTAATATTAAAATAGGTTTTA